AAAGTTGGTCACGTGGTATCATCCCTGGCTCCTGATTGGTTACTGCCCCTATAGACGCCCTTTACTACTCTCGCAACTAAAAAACTATGAACGATCAGAATTCATAAAGCATTTAATCCCTTGTCGAATGATTTTTTTTACGTGCAGTCCGTGTTTTACATGTAGGAGCGTTTTTGCCTTTTCTTCTAGCTTTAAGAGTACCTGTTTATATGAAAAGTGCAGATTAACAGCAAAAATTCAAATTTCAAGTGAAAATTGACAGAATTTTTCTTCATGACAGACATCTAATAGCTTCATTAGCCGACAAAGGCCAATTAGATTTCACCTGCTGACCCGCGCTTTTTAACGTTAAGAGGCAGTTTTAAGAGTTAGCGATATTTTGCCGTTTCTTTTCTTAACCCAATCTAGAATCAGTTCGATGTGTTTAAGATTTAGGATTTTGAATGTAAAAATCTCTATCTTCCTTGTCTCTTACTGAAAAGAAAAGAAGAAATTCAGAAAACCTCCTCTTCACCTTGGATTTTGACGAAACCTCGCAAACACTGTTTTACGCACGAGCAAATTTGNTGTTTTACATGTAGGAGCGTTTTTGCCTTTTCTTCTAGCTTTAAGAGTATCTGTTTATATGAAAAGTGCAGATTAACAGCAAAAATTCAAATTTCAAGTGAAAATTGACAGAATTTTTCCTCATGACAGACATCTAATAGCTTCAGTGGTTTTCTTTAATTCTCCATTAGCCGACAAAGGCCAATTAGATTTCACCTGCTGACCTACGCTTTTTAACGTTAAGAGGCAATTTTAAGAGTTAGCGATATTTTGCCGTTTCTTTTCTTAACCCAATCTACAATCAGTTCGATGTGTTTAAGATTTAAGATTTTGAATTTTGAATATTCCTTGTCTCTTACTGAAAAGAAAAGAAGAAATTCAGAAAACCTCCTCTTCACCTTGGATTTTGACGAAACCTCGCAAACACTGTTTTACGCACGAGCAAATTTGGCCTTCAAAAATAATGTTTTTAATTTCTGAGGAATGAGACAGTTGGAATTAAATTTATGAGTGCATCATCCTACCAATTGATTGGATAAACTATTCAACCAGCGGAATTCTATATTTTTTGGCATCTGTAAATCTTTATCAATTTATCCCGCTCAGTTTTGGCGTTAGGTTTTATCGCTCTCTTAAATACCGCATATTGATGTAGCTTTCACTCCTTACTCAACTTGAAGTTTGACTTAGATACATTCGTTCATTGATCTGAACATTTTAAAGCCAGTTGAAAAAAATGAGCTACCCTTAGAATCTCCAGAAAGTTCCACTTTTCCGTGGGTTTTCCTTTTCTGTTTTTTTTTTTTTTTCCTTGTTTGTTTGTTTGGTTTTTGTTTTGTTTTGTTTTGTCTTGTTTTTTGTTTTTGGAAGTTGATCAAAGTTTTACTTCCCCTTACTTGGTGCTGAGCTCTCTTTATTCTACGTTGTAGTAATATTGACCAATCCTGATTAAATAATCGAAAATTTAAGATCGTCCTAAAATTAACCCCAAGTACATATTTTTTAAAACTTTAATTGTCAAATGTTGCGTCTTATCCTGGTAAACAAAATTCGAAAATAACGAGTAGGAGGCCCCGAGTTCGTTTTTGAGTAATAGGCATAGTTCAAGCCAAAATTAAGGATGTTTTTAGCAGGTCATACTGCCTATTGTCTCACGAATACGGCAACAACGTATTCAGCG